AAAGTTATTTTGAAAGCAATAAATTTGGGAATAGAATATTTTGTAATTATTTGTTCCCCAATGCAGTTTAATTTTAAAAACAATTACAAACTTAACTGTTCACTTCCGTTTAACCATTTTAATTTTAAAATAATATTGTAACGATACTCGCGAACTTTAACAGTTTTAAATATAGATGATCAGAGATGATATGCAAAGTGATATGCAAAATATTGTGAATATAATTAGACTACAAAATAACCAAAAAATTTCGAACACGAATGATAGATTTATTATATATTGAGAAAAAGATATTTATATTTATATTTATTTTTATATATAATTTACTGAGATAATGTATAATTAATGCTACAATGGTATTCTTAGAAATATTTGTTAAATTATGTCAGTGCTATCCAGAATTTATAGATATAGCTTTAAAATTAATGTGTCAGTATTCACGTTTATTGCCTTCCTTTTTCTTCAATTTATAGCTGTCTCTTCTGTAGCTATCTCTGCTGTAGCAGAGTAAGACTATCGATCTGAAGAATGTAACTGTAACTTAGAAAGTATTAACAATTTTTTATGTTACATACATATATGTATGTAATTTTACTATATTTTATACAATTTTATTATATTGTATTTTTAATAATTAAATTGTATAAAATATATTATAGTTAAGAAAATAATAGTATCTTGTATAATAATAGTATAAAAATATACTTTTATAGAGTTGATACGTTAAAAATTTCTAACAATTGCAGAATAGTCTCGTATCTGAAATATCCAATTTGAAATAAAATAATAAAATATAATTTTAAAATGATTTAAACCTTTCAAAGATTTTTACTTTCAAAGTTATTTTGACTTTATTTCGAATTTTCAAAAACATTGTAATAATTACATTATAAATGTAGTTATAATGTAATAAAGTTAATGCATTTTGATGACCGTCATATATGAACAGTATTACTATTTCTGTTTCGTTCCTGATATCGATCGGTACACATTGCGAAAAGATACCTACGAAGTGAGGAATAAAAAAAGCAATAGGCATGAATATTGAAAAATATCGATACTCCATATCTCTCCGTACTCTCTAGATATTATTATCTGTATTGTATCATAAATAATGATTATTCAGCAACGTTATTCTATTATATTTTGAGAATATCTTGTAATAAAATATTTTGAATAAATAAGTAATAATGTAATATAATTGTAGATATAAATATATAATAATAAGTAATAATGTAATATAATTGTAGATATTATTTATATCTACAATTATATTACATTATTACTTATTCTCAAAATATAATAGAATAACGTTGCTGAATAATCACTATTATAAATATATATAGATAGGATATCCAAAAAAACAGACATGTTTTTTTACTGATAGATTCTGTGAAACATTCTTCAAGACGAAATTCTTACATGAAAATTCTTATATGAAAATGTCAAGATAATAATAGGTAAAAATAGTTTAAATAGAAAATATTTAAAGTTTATTCAAGTTGATTAATTTGCGGAAAATTTGCGCGCTCAGATATCGCACAGTAGTGAAGGTGCCATTATGTACTGATTCTATTTTTAGATATTGACATAATTTCGCATACAATGATAAAGAAAATATTTTTAAATTTTATTTTATTTATTCATGATTATTAAATTTATTATAAAGGTATTAATCAAATCGAACTATTAACATTTATATGAAATGTGTTATGAACGCAAGCAAGTTAAATATGCAATCATCTTGACGGTTATATAAAGTGCCATACTTGAGCACGCTAATTTTTTGTAAACAGATTGATCAACTTTAAATGATTTTTATTTGAAAACTATTACGATCAACATTTTTGTATAAAGGTTTTTTTCTTAGAATGTTCCATAGAATTTGTCAGTGAAAAGAAATCCGATAATTTTGGGACACCATATGTAGGATGAAACAATTAAAACAGACCACCTAAACAACTCTTTTATTCTTAATAATAGAAAAAATTTGATTGTTCCTTCTGATACAAGAAATTATTTTCGATTTAAAAGTTGAAGAATCAACAATCGTAGAGGTTAATGATTTCGACATATTAATCAAAGTTATTAAGTTTTTTTTAGAAGGCGAATTATTTTTATTTTGTTGTTCTGGAAAAAAACTTTTTTTTGCGAAGGCAATCTCCATCGAAATTATTTTTTTATTTTTTATTCCCTTCGCTTTTTGTGTGCTCTGTTACTTCCTTTCTCTCTTTCCCTTCTATTTTAAAGATACGTTTCTTTGTCCAACATATAGATAGTCATATAATTAATCTTCTAAGAGATGATAATTGATGATTTGTATTCTCACCTCATTTTATATTCTCTAATAGA